TAGTCCTTGGAATGGCTGTTTTGTCTAGTTTATAGCGATGATGTTTTGCTGTGTTCTTTGCAGCAATATGAGTAAATAGAGCTGGTGATTATGAAATGACCATGAACTGCGTCAGAACCTTACAAGCACAATTAAATAATGTTCTGATAGTTAGGACATTTCCTTCAAAATGTGGTACATTTTTAGAAAACAAGTTCAGAAACTATGTCTAACCTAACAAAACATTAACCTTTTTAAAGCTGCAGTATTTAAGGGTGGCCATAAATGTGAAAAATGACAAACTATGCACCTGACTTCAAACATTGCTTACTATTAGTAAGTATTTTTCAGGATTCCTCTGAGGTAATTGCTAGTAGTTCCAGTGGGGGGAAGGGGATTTAGCGCTAGTTGGAAATCTACCTATGAGTAGGCCTGATAACAGAGGAAGGGCTCAAAGTAGCACACATACACTGCTTTAAAAGTGACACTAAACTCGAGAGTTAAATCTGAAAAATGTATTCACGTTAACTATTAACAAATCTTACCTGTATAGCCTCAAATCATCTCTGAATCGGTGCTGACACTGTCCTTTCTTCTGGAGAGTGGCTACTTTTGTTCCCCATAGTCCCTGTGTGTGTTGTAAAGTAGTCACCGCTCTAAGCTCATTACTGTGATGGACTACAACCCCAATACAAATTAGTAAATTAAACCTGAGATTGTAGTCCATCACGGGAGTGAGCTTGGAGCGCTGGCTACTTTACAACACAAACAGGGACCATGGGAAACAAAAGTAGCCACCCTCCAGAAGGAAGGACAGCGTCAGCACCAATTCAGAGATGGTTTGAGAATCTGCAGCCGAGTGATAGACAAATAATATAAATATTTAACTCTTCAGTTTAGTCTCGCTCCTGAGCTGGACTACAATTTGATGTACACTTTTAGTGTACTAATTTGTATTGAGATTGTAGTCTACCGCAGGAGTGAGCTTGGAGTTGTGGCCATTTTACAACACACGGAGAGACCATGGGGAACAAAAGTAGCCACCCTCCAGAAGGAAGGACAGTGTCAGCACCAATTCAGAGATGATTTGAGGATCTACAGTTGAGTGATGCAACAGTAAGGTACAGTGTTGTTGATAATTAAGGTACTTGAATGCATTTTTAAGGTTTAGGTCCTGAGTTTAGTGTCACTTTAAGGTTAGTATTAGGGCAGGAATTCAGGGAGACTCAGTTGAGGTGAGAAGATATTTCTACAACCATATACCTTGCAGAGATGTGTGTTTATCTATGCCCCTCTTAGATACAAAATAAAACTATTTTCTACATGGTAAAGTAGTAGTGGAGTAAGGGATCTCTGTGTTTGGTGTATCTATCAGTCTTAACCACTTCAGCAAAAATTGTACTATTATTTCCATAACTCTCAATAGCAGTTTGAAATGTATGTTAGTTATTTCCATTGTATTTCATAAACTTATTTGTTTGCAACCCAGTGATGGATCAAATCCAGAATAAGCTTAAAAGTTCCTTAAGGCAATCTAAATTCTTAAGGTTTCTTATCAGATAAGTAAAACATAGTCTGAATGGCACGTAGCAAAGTCATCACTGGTCTGAACTCAAAAAAATGTATTTATATCTGTAGCTGTTCTAAAAATAAGTTTATTTTCAGTGGAAAGGTATGGGGCCACATTTATGAAAACATTTTATTGCTTTATTTCTACTAATCACTATAGGTATGTAAATTAATATATAGAATAACTCTGGTGTACTCTTAGAGCACAACTTTTTCTGCCAGCTCTTTGAGTGGATTTTAACACCAGGAGACTGAGGCAGGCTTTACAATCATGTGATCACTGTGATTGACTATCCCCAGCTCCCGTTCATAAAACATGCCTGTGAGTTGTTATTGATACTGGGGTGCCGAGTGAGCAGGGTAGCCTGATATTAAAGACCAATGCCACACTGCCAAATATATACGTATGGCTGGTGGCAGGTGGTTCAAGTTTAACTCTTGTATGGCAGAAACATGGCAGTAAAAACCTGACAGATGTTCAGAACATTTCCTTTATAGTTCCTATTCCTTTATAAAAAAAAAAGTTATGGCTGGAGGTTCACTTGAGGCAAATACCAATGGAATGTGTGAGTTTTTGTTTCTACTTATGATTCAACATTAGCACAAAACTGGAACATGAAGCAATAAGACTGAAAAAAAATGTGAGCATTTTAGTATTTTGTTTATGAAATCAGTCTGTAGTTCTAAGTTTATAATTTCTGTGACAAGATACATTTTGTCTGTTTTTAGTCATTTTGAGGTTCCAGCTTCAACAATTTTATTATTCTTGTTTCTTATACTTCAGCCTACCACAAAAAAATTAATTAGTTATGTTTCTTGACATTTGCTGTTACAATACAGTACCTATTGTGGATTATTATCTTGTTTGTTGTACACATGTGAAAATTTCATGTTAAATCATAAAAAATGCACACAATTGAAATTGTCTAATGTGTACAGTTTGCTATTTGCAAGTGAAAGAGAACAAGATGACACATGTGTGTGTGTGTGTGTGTGTGTTATCTCGTTAGATTTGTATATGTCCTTTCACAGCCATAACATTTGCTCATCTAAACAATAAGACTGATTTAGACATAGCCGTGATAATCAGTTTGGTTTTTGTTTTGATTAAGTTGGAATGAAGGTAAAAAGGAATTGTGTTGCCCATCCATTGACATGCAGTAAGAATCTGCAGTGAGGATTTGGCAGCATTCTGCAGAATCTGCAGAATGTAGAACTTTTATCTTTTAATTATAAAGAGGTTCAAGTTGTAATTACAAAGAGGAACATTTGATATACAGTATCAGCATTTTAAGGAGAAACATGATTTATGTTCCGTTTTTTTCAATAAGCCACCCTCCAGAAGGAAGTCCCTGTGTGTGTTGTAAAGTACAGTGCAGTAACCCAGTCAGTGATCAGTCAGTTTAAGTTTACTAAAGTCAGATGCAGCCCTGCCACTTAGGTGCAGATCCTTTGAGTTCCTCATCACTCTTCTCCTGGTACCAAACTCACATAGGATCAACAAGGAGAAGAGATCACAGGGGGGTGGAAAGACAAGTATAAATTGACACTAAACAAGTTTAGTGACACATTTTGGTTAATAGTTAAGGTACTTGAATACATTTTTCAGATTTGACTCCAGAGTTTAGTATCACTTTAAGATACAGTCTTCCATACCACTAAAAGGCATAGTCCAGCTTTTGCAAAAAATTATAAATGTGCACACATTAGTAAAAGAAAATATGTGCATTTATTATTATGCATTTATTACTATTATTATTATTATTATTATCATTATTATTATTTAATATATAGTTTTTATTTTTTGCATCTGTGTCTTCAAAACATTGGTGCAATGCTTTGGCTCCTGCAGACTCTTCATCAGATCTCCTTACAGCTAAGGACAGTAGGAAGTATGAATGGACTACAAATGCGGTAACATCACTGCACTTTGACTTATTTGAGAACTGCAAGATCAGATGGGACTTACAGTCTCTCCATTCACAAATCCTATCAAAGAATCTGTTAATGGATGATACAGTGCAAAAATTAAAAATATGACAGTAGCGTGTGGGTATAATTAGAGGGGTGTAGGTGGGATAGGTGGGGGTTTTTATTCAAATATGATACCCTAAATATGGGTATAACATGAACTACAATCAAAAAGGCACACCCCTTTGGTTCTACTGAACCGAAGGGGTCCTGGGGCCGAAGCTAGCCGAAGGATCGGCCGAAGCTACGGCCAGATCCTTCGGCAGCTTCGTGAATAGACCCCTGTCTTTAAAACAAAATGGTTTTGGATGGGGGTCTTCACTTATTAAGCTGAGCTAGCTTCAGAAAGTGTATTGCTTTTATAAAACATTCTAAGGGACAACAAACAAGGGCAAAAAGAACAGAAAAGTATAACTGCATATTCTTAAAATCTAAAGATAAGTGTTTAAAATGTATATACAGGACAAAACCTTTTTCTTTCAGTTTGAGATAAAATGAGGGACAGATACTGTAGTTTCCCAGACAGGAAGTGAAAGTAAATATCCAACAGCAAGACATATATAGATTGAAACAGAGTAGTAGAGTAGGGAGAGACTATAACCCCTTTTTTATTGCTGTCCGGTGTGTGTGTGTGTGGGGTACAGTTTGAAGCAACCCCAAAGCTTGTTATTTAAAGGATTTTGTATTGTTAATGTTGCCTCTGAAGCCATATTAAGACCCTCTCCCAGCTGCATGGTAATTTTTTTATGGTAAATTTGTATTTGCATTGGCACATCTCCCATGGCAATGCACAGCTACCTGTGCCAGACATTGGCATTGAAAAAAAGGGCAGAAATAGCTATGTTTTGCAATCCAAACTCTAATTCTAAGCTTTTTTCACTCAAAAAAAGACTGGACATACACTTTAAGTTTAAATTGTATGTAAAACCTTTTGTAGTGCAAACAGAACAACAAAGCCAAAATGTGTCTGTAATTTATTCTGCATCCTCACAGTGTTATGCTTTTTTTTTGTAGTTTTCCTAATTTCACTACCCTTATGGGTCCTTTAAGTTAACGATCCAAATAACATTATTGTCCATTCAACAGTACATTTCCTTTGGCAAACTAGACAGAATGCTTTTTAATAGCACTAGTCATTTGGCATTTTTTTTAAAGCAGTTTGTTATGTGTCACTGTGGACGTGCGTTGATATAAAACTCTGCATATAAATTAAACATTAAAAAGGTAGACACAGGCTGCCGTAGAAGCTTAGTTATAATCTTTGGTTATGCAGTTAGTGCCTGAAGGACACCCACATCCATTTCATATCACATGTCCTTCTTTTGAAAGATGATCATTGTGGCTCAAGTAACGTTCTAGCTGCAAGATAATGCATAATTTATCCATTTAATTTGTGCACAAACCTAATCTTATAGACCATAACCCAAACCTGTGCTTATTTTAATAGTTAAAACCACTTTGTTTTTGTGTTTTTACCACAGATTGGGTCACTCCAGAATTACTATCACTTTTACCACAGTGGAACTATCAAGAGGTCAGTCTTGTCAAGCCGAGGAACACATAACTTCATCTCTATGGAACCAAAGGTAAGCAGATCTCCACTGTGTTCACAGCTAGAGCTCTTATATTATTTATGGGTAATGGGTAATGCCTCATCAGGTAGTGATGCTTAGTTGCCATATGAGCTCTGGAGAACTGATACACCATCTTCTCTGTCAAACGCTAGATACAATGCACAAGATTATCTGACAACACCAGACCAAGCAGACTATGTATTGGACATGGTCACTTTATTTAAAGCTAAACTCTGGGATTTAAAAAAAAAAATACCCTTACAGTGGGGCACCCCGCACTGCAAGGGTGCGAATGCTTAAGTAGAGGAATAAACTGTAATACTGAACTTATTCCTTACTGTGGCAGGCATCCACCACGCTGTGCAACCAGATATCTGAAGCCTCTTCTCTATGGCACTCCAGCCAGCAGACATAATCATGTAAATGCAGGACCAAGAGTACTGCATTGTACGTGATGATGGTAAGGGCCTGCCAACAACCTAGAGTATTAAAGAGGACAGCGCCAGAGCCTGCCAGTGAGGGATAAGCTAAGTATTACAGCTTATTCCTCTACTCCTAGACTTAAAGAGCGGTTAACCCTTGCAGTGTGGGGGGGGCCCAGCACTGCAAGGATATTTTTTACAGAAATCCCAGACTTTACCATTAAATATAAATAGCTGTGCATGTTAAAAATAAACCTCCTCTGGGCGACTTGACCTGATGGTCCCTCATCCCTACTCCTAGTGCACCTGTGAGGAGGGACCCTCAGCTCAGGACTGGAGATTCGACCCACTGTGTATCTTCATTGCCACCTATGTAGCCAGCCTAAAATAAAAAAATAAACCTGCTTTTATTCTCGTCTTTTGACAGTGTTTAGCATTGGAAAACTGCTAATTAGGTGTTGCTACTTGACCAGTTCTTGACTACACTGCTGTGAGACTGAATCTCTCCTTTGCCCTGCCATAACTGATCACAAGTTTTCTAACACACTCTAAGCTAGTCGATAACATTTTCAGCAGTGCTTGATCATTAATGACTGTTGGTAGATCGCTGCAGCCCCCACAATTCGATTGTATTCCATTATATAGTGGCTTCAAATTCTGATGAGCTTCTTAAGGTACAAAGATGTTTCCTTCATTCACATTATTACCATTTTTGAATCACGTGAGCAGTCTAGAGCACCTGGAAGTGACCCACACAAATATGAGAACATAGAGACTTTTTGCAGGTACTGGTGACCCTGGTGGCATTTAAATCCATAATTCCAGCACTGCAAAGCCTCAGAGCTAACTACGTAATGGCTCTTTTCTAGTAAAACTGCAGTTTCTGGGGTCAGTCATGGGTATGAACACCTAATACATCAAATTTCTGCCAGGGTTTATCGATGATTTATTATTACAGTGAATTGTGTAGTTTCCATAGTTAAAGCAGTTATCCAGCTAAAATACAAACATTTAAACAGATTTTATTCCCCTGTGTACTAAGGGCTGCAATATCTGATGTTGCTTGATGTGCAGTGTGCTTCTAATGTATATTTATTCTCAGTTTTTGTTTTTCATAAGTAACTTTAACTGAAAAAGAGATTACACTTTGTGCTTTGTGAATCCATATTTCTGTTTTTAGGTGGAAATACTAGATAGAATGCCATCTAGATAAGTCTACTTAACATAGAAATACTGTTTGCCTTCTTTATGGTCTGCTAGTTTTTATCAGTAGTTCTGTTATTTTACTGGTCATATAGTTTTTGGAACTCAATTCTGATTATATACAGTAGTCATGCACCGATACCGTTTTTTAGGTATCGAGTTCCGATATTTTTTTCTCAGTACTCGCCGATAATGAATACTGATACTGAAAGCTCCCTTAAAGGAGAACTATGGGGTTAGGGCTTTTCCCCATAGTTGTCCTAAGGGTAACGGGAGGACACAAACTAGCATCCTCCCGTCACCCAAAGCTCAATATACAGCAAGCTACAGCTCGTGGTATACTGAGACGCCACAGCCGGAACGGATCCCGACAATTATGTCTGAATCCACCCAGCTGCGTGAGTGACAGCTGGCTCTGCCTATCTAGAGGCAGAGCCAGCTGTACCCGCCCCCTCCCCCGTCTGTTCCGCCAGTCAGCGCTGGAGGATCGGACAGGGGAGGGGGTAATCCAGTCCCTCCCCTGTCACGGCTCTCTGAAGTGACAGGATCAAGAAGTGAGCGTGTGCCAGTATGTGTTCGCTCATTTCCCGATCTACTGAGCCGACCTGTGACAGTTGCATTGTCACAGGTCGGCTAGAACTATGAGGATGAGTGAAAATCACTCACCTCATAATTCTCCTATAATGGAAGCCGTGCGGCGTGTAATGACTCGCCACCCAGCTTCCTTTTTAGCTGGGAAGCCGTCTCCATGCTCCCTCATCACCAGATGACCAGGAAGCATGGAGCCGGCTTTCTGGCCAATCAAGAAGCCAGGGGTGAGTGATGATTTGCCGCACGGCATCCAGATTGGCCAGCTTCCCTACCAATCAGGAATTAATACCAATTAAAGATCATTTTGCATTAATTGAAAAAAATACAAAGCAATCTCAGATTGGTGGTTGTGCAGAGTGAGTGACCCCAAATGTTTAGTATGCAGATGGAAATCTGCTGGAGCAGCAGCAGGAAAATCAGGGCTATCACTGTATGTACCACAGAGTACTACAGTGGTTTTCAGCATCTCCAGCTGCACTCTGGATATCAGCTATGGATACTTATATTAAGCCAATCATGACCAATGTAGGTTTCTAAAAAGATCATTTCTGGAGTTCCAGGAATCATTCTAATAAATACTAGTTAAAGTGACTTTGCCATGAGAGAAGTACAAGGGCTGTCTTCGCTGGTTTCTATTTGATCAATCAAATTTCTCATCTTTATTCTTGCTCTGGGTCAACAAAGGAACTAGGAAACTATCATTCCCAAAAGGAACGCTCAACAGTGCCATCATTCACTCATAACAGATTCCCTTTAATAAACATAAATACATTTAACATATAAAAATATTTCAAAATGTGGCTTGCTGTAAAGTGAAGAAATATGCATGATGGTAAATTGTCACTTCCTTCTGCACATTTACTTTATGTAGAAGGTGTTAAAGGGCACCTTGGAGGCCGTTTGGTAGCGTTTCTCTCAGATATATTCTTGAATTATATGTGTCTTTAATGTTTCTCATTACAAACTGCTAGCTGATTTCACAGTTTCAAACAATTTATCATAAAGTGTAATCTTTGAATCAAGCAAAGTTACTGTGAAGTTGTAAATGAAGTCATTTGCATTAATGTAAATTAATTTGGTTATCTCAACATTACAAAGGTTAACTGCTTTTAAGTAATCCTAAAGAAGCAAATAGGGATGTTACAGATCATTTACTGGTCATTTCATTTGCAAAGATAAGTAGTGCACAGAGATACACATGCATTTGGTTTGTAGCAGAGGACTGTAGCAGCAGCCTTATTAGTGAAATATTAAGTCAATCATAATAATGATTTCTTATGATGAGAATGAAGATGATGACTAGTAGACAACTTGATATATTTGGAACATAGCTGCACTTATGTACAAAATGGAAAACAAACATGTAATTATGTTTAAAGTAAACCTGTTTTTTACCCATGCAAGGGGAAGCAACAGGTTTACTTTATTGGTGGCCTTAACTGGTGCTTATACTTCTCTTCCTTTGCTCCCTCAACCCTCGGTTTAGCCAGGAGTAATAAAAAAAACCTTTTCTTTTTCGGTGTGGGGAGCATGTGACCTCCTCCTCGTATTCTAAAAGTAGAATGGCAGTAGGGACCTCTTCACTGACGAGTCCACCAAATATGCAGCACGATACCCTCGGCTGTCCCACATATCCAACAAAAATGTGTTCTCTTTATTTTTGCTTTTCAACACAGATGGTTCCTTAAAACTGAACTTTAATCTGCTTGTATTATGCTTTACCTGGTTCCTACCTCTCCATTAGGGTGTCAAACATAGCTTCCTTAAAACATCCCTGCACCCTGCCTCAGTAGTCCTCTCAAGAGCCCTCAGCCCTGTTGCAAGCAGTAGGCTTTGGTTTATTCTTATATGTATGCATGCATGTTTTGCTTGGAAAAAAACATATATCTTGGTGCAACTTTATCGAAGAAGGTGGCATATCCATTGTCTGCTTTATTTGGAGATCAACTGGATACATTTTTTGCATAAGTGTGTTCTAATAGCCCCTCAGCAAGCTATGTTCACTGACATGTTTCCTCACATACCTTTACCATGAATTCCTCCTACGTTGCTCCAAGGGAGCATACCTTGCTGTGGGTTATCTGCAGACACTTTCATTTTGCACTGAATGGCCTAAATCTTCTTGTAAATGTATGCAGGGCCGTATTTATTCTCTCTGCTGCCCCTAGGGCAGGTTCCTCAATGTAATTTAATTTTTAAACTTTTTCACTTAAATTTATTGCTATCACACAGGAGCTAACAAGCCCCTATGTGATAGCATTTGGAGGTGACAGGTTCTCTGTAGTGAACCCGTCACCTCCAATACAGGAGTTTGAGCACAGCACTGTGCTGGAACTCCTATGACAGCTGAGATGGGAAGGCTGTGTGTACAGCGTTCACGTTTCAGTGTTAACACGGACCAGAGCGGAGAACGGACGTCCATCCTGAACTACTTTGACCCTGAAAACCACGGCGAGGAGGCCAGTGGGGAGAGGCAACCATGGAGGGAAGGGCAGCAGGGGAGGACAGACAAGCAGGCTTATCAAGTGATCTCGGCATCGCTGAGATCACTTGTACAAAATGAGCTGCAGCTTCCTAATGAATTTGCAGAAATAGAAACCTGACAGAAATTTGACCTCTTCCCAATTTTTAAAAAAACCCAACACTAAACTTGTTTCTGTCTGAAGTACTATTATTATTTTTTTCCTTCTCGATAAGCATTAGGAAACCTTTTATTTGAATTTGGCTGCACAATTTTTTTTGTTTTCTGAAAAACATTTGGTTATTTTCACTGTTGTTTTTGGAGGCTAAAAATAT